TAAAGCTGCTTTTCTTCCTTCTTGAAATTCCGATAAGTCACAAGAAAGTAGGGAAACATAACATACTAATATATTGCTTCACTGATGTGTTAAAGCAAAATTGTATTACACTTGTAAATAATATGTATGTAAATATGTATGTCATCAGAATAACATCTTATTCAGCATCCTCCTGAATATAGTTCTCTCTAAAAGTGAATGTATCAGATGTATATAACATGATTTATGCCCATAATTGATAATGTCTTTAAATATAATCATCATTATTTTTCTCTAGCATATACTGCATGTTTCTTTATATAGGGTAAAATGTATTCTCCTCCTTGAACACTGACTACAATTAACTAATTCCTTGAAAACTAAAGGTTATTGTTAGAGCCATCATTAATCATTTCTCTGAGCTGCAGTGGGTTTGTTTCTTTACTGTTTTCTCTTTAATTAGCTGGCTGTCATCTATAACTTAAGAACTGAGTCAGCTTGACATTGGCAGCACTCTACATAATTTTCAATGCTCAATCAGAAAAGTAATAGTATAGGAAATACATATAAATAGGGTAAATAACTTCCAAAATGTTTTAAATAAAGCAGAGTTGGGGAAGGAAGTGAAGAACACACTACTAAGAGTCTAGATAGCCAAAATATAAATATTCATGTAGAAAGGAATAAAAATAAAATTGGAGGATATCAAGTGGTTGCTATATTAGGCTTTAAAACCAAAGATGATTTTTTTCACTGAACCCTTATTATCATCATTATAACATTTTTCCAGCAGAAAAGATATAGATTGTCATCTCTCCTATCTAATACTATCTAGGGAGACACAAAGGTAAGAAAATATAAAGTTAGAAAGAGGCCCCAAAACATCTATGACTATTGTACACTTGCTAGATATTTACTGTATGCATATTAGATATATACCTTATAGAGTAGTTGAATCAAATATTTTTAAAGTATGGAAAATACTGGAAAATGGTATACTATCACAGGCATTCTTAATGGATATTTGTATGCTCGATATATCCAACTGTTCATTAAAGAATGAGTTTAATAGGTCATTACAAAAAAGGTTTGTAGATTTTTAAAAGTAGGAGCTCTTAACATTATTAGTAATGATTTAAGTTCTCCATAGGATATCACAGTCACTAAGAAGATGTAGGAAAAGACACTTGCAATTATGAGAGTTTACTCATAATAATTCATGAGTGGGTATTTGTAAGGCTTCCTCAGACAACCACTTTGCCTTATTGCATTTCTTTTTCTTGGGGATGGTTTTGGTCACCACCTCCTGTACAGTATTACAAACTTCCATCCACAGTTCTTCAGGTACTCTGTAATCCCTTGAATCGATTATTGGGAATAGATTGGGATTCCCTTGAATAGAATCCCTTGAATCTATTGGGAATATAAATAAATGTCTGAAAGTGTAGCCAAAAAATGAAGATAATTTATCCTTTTTTTGCCAAGAGAACATGCTGGCCATAGCAAATAACCTCTTCCAACAACAAAAGAGATAACTCTACACATGGACATCACCAGATGATCAATACTGATCAGATTAACTACATTCTTTGCAACTGAAGATGGAGAAGTTCTGTTTATAAACAGCTCTATACAGCTCCTTATCGCAAAATTCAGGCTTAAATTGAAGAAAGTAGGGAAAAGCACTAGGCCATTCAGGTATGACGTAAATCAAATCCCTTATGATCATACAGTGGAGGTGATGAATAGATTCAAGGGGTTTTGGAGTGCCTGAAGAACTATGGATGGAAGTTTGTCACACTGTACAGAAGATGGTGACCAAAACCATTCCCAAGAAAAGAAATGCAATAAGGCAAAGTGATTGTCTGAGGAAGCCTTACAGATAGATGAGAAAAGAAGAGAAGAGAAAGGCAGAGGAGAAAGGGAAAGATAGATTCAACTGAATGTAGAGTTCCAGAGAATAGCACGGAGAGATAAGAAGGCCTTCTTAAGTGAACAATGCAAAGAAACAGAGAAAAAAAATACAATGGGAAAGACTAGAGATCTCTTCAAGAAAACTGGAGATACCAAGGGAATATTTCATGCAAAGATGGGCACAATAAAGGGCAGAAACAGCAAGGATCTAGCAGAAGCAGAAGAAATTAAGAAGAGGTGGCAAGAATACACAGAAGAACTGTTAAAAAACGTCTTAATGATCTAGATAACCACAGTGGTGTGCTCACTCACCTAGAGCCAGACATCCTCGAGTGTGAAGTCAAGTGGGCCTTAGAAAGCATCACTACAAACAAAGGCAGTGGAGGATGCAATTCCAGCTGCGCTATTTCAAATCCTGAAAGATAATGCTGTTAAAGTGCTGCAGTCAACACGCCAGCAAATTTGGAAAACTCAGCAGTGGCCACAGGACTGGAAAAGGTCAGTTTTCATTCCAACTAATTGCAAAGAAAGGCAATGACAAAGAATGTTCAAACTACCACATAATTGAACTTATTTCACATGTTAGCAAGATCATGCTCAAAATCCTTCAAGCTAGGCTTCAGAAACACATGAACTGAGAACTTCCAGATGTACAAGCTGGATTTAGAAAAGGCAGAGGAACCAGAGATCAAATTGCCAACATACCCTGAACCATAAAATAACCAAGGGAATTCCAAAAAAAAAAAATCTACTTCTGCTTCATTGACTACACTAAAGCATTTGTTTGGATCACAACAAACTGGAAAATTCTTAAAAGACTGGGAATACCAGACCACCTGACCTGTCTCCTGAGAAGCCTGCATATGAGACAAGAAGCAACAGTTAGAACTGGACATAGAACAACAGCTTGGTTCCAAGTTGCAAAAGGGTACATCAAGGTTGCATACCGTTACCCTGCTTGTTTAACTTAAACGCAGAGTACATCATGTGAAATACCAAGCTGGATAAGTCACAAGCTGGAATCAAGATGGCTAGGAGAAATATCAACAACTTCAGATACACAGATGATACCACTTTAATGGCAGAAAGAGAAGAGGAACTAAAGAGCCTCTAGATGAGGGTGAAGGAGGAGACCCAAAGAGATGGCTTAAAACTAAATATTAAGAAAACTAAGAAGATGGTATCCAGTCCCATTACTTCATGGCAAATAGAAGGGGAAAGGGGGAAAGGTGGAAGCAGTGACAGACGTCCTCTTCTTGGGCTCTAAAATCACTGCAGATGGGAGTGCAGCCATGAAATCAGAAGACGATTGCTTCTTGGCAGGAAAGCTATGACCAAACTAGACAGTGTGTTGAAAAGCAGAGACATTACTCTGCCAACAAAAGTCCAAAGAGTCAAGGCTATGGTCTTCCCAGTGGTCACATACAGTTCTGAGAGCTGGACTATAAAAAAGGCAGAGCGCCAAAGAATCAATGCCTTCAAACTATGGTGCTGGAGAAGACTCCTGAGAATCCATTGGACAGCAAGGAGATCAAACCAGTAAAACTTAAGGGAAATCAACCCTGAATACTCATCGGAAGAACTGAAGCTGAAGCTGATGCTCCAGTATTTTGGTCACCTGATGCAAACAGCTGACTCATTGGAAAAGTCCCTGATGCTGGGAAAGATTGAGGGCAGAAGGAGAAGAGGCATCAGAGGATGAGATGGCTGCATGGCATCACCACTGAACTTGGACAAACACTGGGAGATGGTGAGTGACACGGAGGCCTGGTGTGCTGCAGTCTATGCGGTCATGACGAGAGTCGGACATGACTGGGCGACTGAACAACGACACAGGATAAGCATATATAAATATTCACTTGTTACTCATAATGACATTATATAAATAGCAGCAATCATTACTACTTAAGGTTGAATTTCTATGCAGAGATACTACACTAAAAATATTAGTCATTAGAGAATATCCAGCATAGATTTTAAGAGTTTTCTACCAAGAAATATAGGCACTGCAAAGAAACACACACAGCTCATGTCATTTTTGGCAGTTTTAAAATATGGATGTTAATACAGCTCAAACCACAGGAGAAAATGATTAAGGGGTTAACTATCTTAAACCATATTCTTAAAAAGTATTATTCAAAGGAAAAGTGTTCTTCATAGACCCTTTAAAAATCCATATATTCAACACATTTATTGAGTGTCTGTTCTAGAGTGTTTTCCTTAAAGCAAAATATTGCACTAATTAATTACTATGGCCTATATGTGAGACTCTAAATAATGAAGATTTAGAAAACACTAGCTCATCATTGTAAATTTACAGTAAGTTTCCCACATATGAACAAGTTCCATTCTGAGAACACGTTGACAAATTTAATTTGTTTATAAGTTCAACAAAGTTAGCCTAGGCACTTAACTAACATAGTCAGCTATATAGTATTGTAACAGGTTTAGAATACTTTCCACACAAACAATACACAAAAATAAACACAAAAAATAAAGAAAAGATTTTCAGCCTTACGTTGCAGAACTTTGAAAAGTACAGTAGTAGCAGCTGGATACAGGGGTTAGTGGACAGGCAAGAAGACTTGCTGCTGGAGGAGGGGCAGGAGGTGGAACGGTGGGGCTGAAGGGTCCTCAGCAAGAGGAGACGGCGGGCAAGCTGCAGTGCCACTCACGCCTGAAGTGACTGGGCATGTGAACCCACATTCGCATCTTTCAAAGTTTGCAACTCGAGGATTCATATGCAGAGGACTTACTGTTCTCCCATAAACAGCTAAAACCAGCTGTTCTGAAAGAGAGCTGGTGAGGTGGGTGGGACTGAGGGGCAATATCAGAATCACAGAATTAACTGTGTCCTCAGACTCTTCAAGAAGGTAAACTCATTTCTTCCCCTCTGCAGAATCACCAAGGTCCTCAGTCACTCTGATGAGAGATGATCTAGTCCTTTAAGTGTCCTTCAGGACAAAAGTTTGCTAAACTCCTGGCCTGAGTCACATACTTCAAATAGAGGACTCTTATCTCACACTCCCTTTTATTCATGCATTTGGCTTTAAAGAATTTACAATGTGATTTTGCAATGAGAGGAGAAGAAAGTGAAATGGAAATACCATGATCTTGATCAGGTGCCTCCAGGTTGTAGCCATATCCCAGGAGTGTGCGTACAGCCTCACGGAGGCTATCCTTATTGGATTTCTTAGTTCTGTCATCTAGAAGGGCATAGGGAACAAGCCGAGGGTTTCTTCTGTTCTTTACATCCTACAGGAATGAAAAAAAAAAGGTATGTGATCATCAAAGTACAACCAACAGCATTTGGAAATTACACAGCCACCAAATACATCAAAATATATAGTGTCTGAAGGTAGATATTGTGCTTTCTACCTTCCCTTTGTCTTTCCAGGTTGTAGAAGTCAGTGAAATACTACGAGTATGAAGAATCTATCAACTGAGTCACTGATCAATGTAAATCAGGCTCTCTCCATGAAAAGAAAATGTAAAAATAACGGCAATAACAAAAGACAACTTCAATGATCTCAATAACCATCATCCATCTGTCATGACTGCAAGGCAATGGGCTAACTTAAGAGAACCTACCATTTCCTTGCCCAGTTGACTGACAGGTCTTTGTTACAAAAAAAGCCTAATTTGTAACCATCATCACTCTGATTTTTGAGTCAATGTATAACACAAAGCAGCTGTCCCTTCCTCAGAGAAAAGTCAGTGTGTGATGGCCACCTCACAAACACAAATAGCTTAAAAAATAATAAACTGACTCCATCAACTGGTGAACCAGGTAATAGCAGGAGCATTACAAGAACTGCAAACCTCACAATTTTTTATAAAAGAGGCTCCAAGTTTAAAGCATGATTAAAATGGTAGTGACCAAGCAAGAAGACAGGCCATCTTACCATCTTAACAAAAGAATACATTATTTAAGAGTAAACTCAAAATCTGGGCAGTGGAGATGACCCAAGACTGCAAGTCTTTCTAACACTTAAGAAATTACTTCTTTGCATTCATTCGTTGCTGCAGACTTGATCAAACTTTCCATATTATAGGAGGCATGCTGCTGCTGCTGCTAAGTCGCTTCAGTCATGTCCAACTCTGTGCGACCCCAAAGACGGCAGCTCACCAGGCTCCCGCATCCCTGGGATTCCCCAGGCAAGAACACTGGAGCAGGTCGCCATTTCCTTCACCAATGCATGAAAGTGAAAAGTGAAAGTGAAGTTACTCAGTCGTGTCCAGCTCTTAGCGACCCCATGGACTGCAGCCCACTAGGCTCCTCCGTCCATGGGATTTTTCCAGGCAAGAGTACTGGAGTGGGGTGCCATTGCCTTCTCCACCAGGAGGCATATTCAATCTCAATTTATCTTAGCATGAAGAACAATTTGGATGCTGTAGATATTCCCAAACATTCTCCAAAAAAAATAAGCTATTTGGTAGATAGCATTTGCTCTGGTTGGGGAGGAACAAGGAAAACTAGTTCCCAATTTCTTCTTCCCCTTCTCTAGCAAATCTGTAGTATACCTTATACTGACTACCTGACCATTTGGACCAGAGTTCAAATCCCACTCCAAAGCCACCCCCAAAGAAATAAGCACCATAAACAGCTTCAAGCCACATTACCCAATGTCTGTTAGCTATTCTCACGAGTGTGACCATTAATAGAGATCCATGGACTTGCCTGGTGGGCCGGCGGTTAAGAATCTGCATCCCAGTGCAGGGAACAGGGGTTTGATCCCTGGTCTGGGAAGATCCCACATGCCACAAGACAACTAAGCCCGCATGTCACAACTGCTGAAGTTTGTGCCTCCGGAGTCAGTAGTCCACAACAAGAGAAGTCACTGCAATGAGAAGCTTGCGCACTGCCACTGGAGAATGGCACCCACTTACCATAACTACAGAAAGCCCAGGCACAGTACAAAGACCCAGAGCAGTCAAAAATAAAATTTAAAAAAAAATTAAAAAATAGAGGCCCACAATTCTGAAATCTAGAAAAAGAAATTTTTTTAAACTAAGTTTAATAAAAATGCAGTTGGTGGCAAACAATGACCTGCATTGATGCAAGGCTGTTGATAATCTTTTTTTCTCTCTCTTGGTTTCATCAGTCTACACTGCTGAACAAAGAATAACTTATACATAGTCTGCTGCTCTGCACTATGGAACAACCTCATTTTACCACCATTCAAAAAATCTGGATTATGAAATTCATCTGGCCCAAGGGGCATTAAATGTGACATTATGGACCTCTTTTATTAATTTATCTTGATACTATCATATTTTACATGCTTAAAAACAATCCTAAAAATCAATCTCAGAGAAATGTCACAAAACCACGTTATAAATCAGTGGTCTGGAAACGGTCACTGGGAGCCTCATGATAAAAACCAGGCTTGAGGACTGACGTCCTGGGTCTAGCAACAAACAAGTGCTTCAGTGCATATGTGCATTAAAGATATCTATATGATGTGAGTTTCAATATAGTCATTATTTAATCTCTCTGTTACAAAGTATACTAGTCCCCACTTAGGTCAATTTCAGAGCATGTGTTGTAGAGTTAAGGTCCCACATACCTGTTGGATGCCGTAGGTCCAGCCCTGCCGAATCCGATCCCGAGCCCACACGTTATGAGCATTTTCCGCCAACTTGTCCACCATGGCCTCTTGAGATGGGGTGAGTTTGATAAAGCTCAGGTCCATTGGGGCAGGCTTATATCCACTTGTCAGCTGGTAACTACAAAGCAAAGCCAAAGACATAGACAATAGGCCTGTCCAAAAAAATCAAGGTTGAGAAATTCCTATATTAATCTTTTAACTCCAATTGTTTCTAATTTTTATTGTTCCATAGACCACAGTGGGCTTCCCTGGTAGCTCAGCTGGTAAAGAATCCACCTGCAATGCAGGAGACCCCAGTTCAATTCCTGGGTTGGGAAGATCCCCTGGAGAAGGGACAGGCTACCCACTCCAGTATTCTTGCCTGGAGAATCCCATGGGCAGCGGAACCTGGAGGGCTACAGTCCATGGGGTTGCAAAGAGTCAGACATGACTCAGCGACTCAGCACAGCACCGCACAGCCCACAGTGGTGACCCGTGGTGATGTGCCTGGTCAGCAGTTACGGACCCCTTTCACTTAAACTAAAAACTCATCCGGTGGAAAAGCCACCTGATCTTTATGTTTTCACTTTTACATCACTAAAACAGAAATGAAGCAACACCTCTCTCTCAAATTTGAGTATTTATCATTGTTTGTGTCCCAAACAGTTGATGCTTTCGTATAGCATAAATCAAAGCATCAGTAATTAAAATAGTTAATGAATTTCTCTTTCTGTTAAGTCCTCAGTTTTCAACATTTACATGTTATATTCATGTAATATTTATTTCAGAAATCTGTGTATCCTTTCAGACACAAGCTGTTCATTATTCTACAGGGGAATCCTAACACATTCATACATTATTTTTCTATTGCCATTCCAAGTTACATAATTTAGAAAGCCTCTAGATAAGACAGAGACTAGAAAATACCAGGCATGTAATCATCTAAAATATGATGAAGGCCTGAATTTTAGGGAATGCTTACCAGAGGCTATTTCCACACTTTGAGCTAGAGAAGAAAGGTATCAAGACCAGTATAATTTTTAATTTGGGGGGAGAAATAGAAAATTGAAAATATAAGAATTTTCAGACTTCCCTCATGGTCCAGTGGTTAAGAATTCGCCTGCCAATGCAACAGACACAGGTTCCATCCCTGTTCTGAGAGGACCCCACATGTTGCAGGGCAACTAAGCCCATTTGCCACAGCTATTGAGCCCATGCTCTAGAGCCTGTGAGCCCCAACTACTGAAGCCCATGTGCCCTTCAGCCCATGTAGCCAAAACTAAATAAACAAACAAATAAAATTTTAAAAAGAAAGAAAATATAAAATTTTGCACCCACATTTATTAGGGCGATATGACTGCTACACGCACACACACACACACAGAGACATCCATCTTATCTACTAGAGAGACTGGCCCAAAGCCTACTGTACAACTGGTTCTCTTTCATTCTCTGTCGCTGTTCCGTCCCCTTCCATCAACTGTGCCTTGGGGTCAGGATCTGCTTCTGATCCATTTTTCTAATTATCATTATACTTAGAAGAGTGCCTGGCAGAGAACAGCCTTTCAATCTATAGTCTTCGAAAGGACTCACTTTATGTACAAAATGAATATAAAGAGATAATGCATCTTCATCTCAAAGATTCTCCTTTGGTCCAAACAAAGTAAACAAAAGTTGCCCGATGATTACGCTAAGTTAAAAAAAAAAAAAAGACCAGAACATGAGAAAATGGTCTAAGATAAAACTATAAATAATCTTTATTATTCTAATTATTCTGGCTTATGGCTAGCCAAATTAAAAGGCAAGCTCCTTAATAACAGAGAGAAAACCTAAGATAGTGCCTGATATATGGTAGATATTCAATAAAAATCTGCTGATTGAATCTGTGTATGACAGAAATAAATAATTTAAGGTTGAATAAAGTTGACTTTACCTTAAATAACTTCATTATACTTCATTGAACCCCTACTTCATTATAAGACATCTTGCATTTTATAAATGATTAATCTATAGGCAGAAGTCTTAAAGAACATTTTGTTTTGTATAAGTAGATCAGATTGGTCTGGCAATTGCAAAAATTGTGGCTAATTACTACCTTATGTCACTTCATTTACATCCACAGTTGAATTTACTGACATGAAATTTTGTTCTGTTTTAAATCATTAACAATACATTTTATTTTTCTATAAAGAAGCCACATGGGACTTCTGAATCACTCATACAAATCACTGCCTTTTATAGAATCTGTATGTTTAAATGAACATATCTGTCAACTGTAAGCACAGTCTATATTCAAGTTCTCACTTGGAAAATATTTTCTTCAAGAAAGCACTCAATACATTTCAAATGTACCAAGAGGTGATCAAGCCCAGCATCCTCTAATTTCCAAGTTTAACATTATTTGCTGGACGAAGAGTTGGGGGCAATAATAACGAACTTGGTCTTTTGTACTCAACCCCTTCCCACTTCTGTTCCTCACCCCTTTCTCCTGAATTTCCCCAATATCACCCAGCATATAATTCTCTTTCTTCTCTAATTTTCCCGTGGTCCTGATCCCTCCTAGCTGTAACAGACAGGCTCAAGTTTTGAAGGTACTCTGTGAAGAACTGATTACAGCCTATACCACCTTAGTGAGTGATATATGTTTTCTAAAAAGAGGAAAGATACTTCTCTTGTGATCAATTCTAATAGTAGACTTGTCAGCAATGTCAAAGGGAGAGGAATTTTTGAAGGGTATTTTCTACAAAAACTTACAGATAAATTCTATTAGTCTATAGTAGAACTACACATTCTACTGTATTTCTGTAGAGTAGTATGACATATACCATATGTACATGCCATAATTCTGGAATAAGCATTTCTCTTTACTTTCTAAATTTTTCTCTCACTGTATACAATATCTATTAGAGTTGCTTTAGTTTGCAATCACAATGAAAGCCTATGGAGATTCATTTGCATCTATCGATTTGAAATGACCCAATAATTAATTTACATTCATTTTCAGATGTAGACTACAATTCATTCTACCAGCTTTCCTTCATAGTCTAGTGTAAGAAAGAATTTAAAGTTTCAAGTAGTACTTTTAAATGGTGAATAATCCCATTCAAATTGAAGTTATTAATTCCCATTTCACCTGAACCTTATTTCCACACTGTTGTACTTCATCTTTTACAGTGTAAATAACTACAAATATCTTTGAAATTAAGACTTCAACCTCAGTATGTTAAAAATGGTAACATCATGAATGCTTTTATTAGTGGCATAAATAATGACTTACAAAATCATTCACAGGACATAACAAAGAAAGAATCAAAATCACTATACCAAAATGAGATTTTTAAAAGTACATAAGTGTACTTTAGCAAATCATGCCCATTTCATTGTATTAATACAATCTAATTAGGTACATAAAGATCAACCAACTACTAATAGAAACTATTTTCTTTTTGTGATTGGAAAAGGACAAAGAATGAAGCTTTTGAATAAAATTCAATCGAAGCGAACCTTGGAAGCTAAATAATTCCAAGTAAAGTTTCAGATTGATTTCCAGAAATTTAAAAGAAATAAAGGAAAGATTGCTACAATTCTTTGGAAATGGGATTTTGTAGCCCAAATACTAGGGAAAAGGCATGTCATTAGTAATTATACTAATAGAAAACATGCTTAGCTCATATTAAAGACATCTATGTAGTACAACCTACCTTTTCAAGCTTTCAGGGAAAATTCTCCCAGAATCAGTCAATAAATCTCTTTATTCTGTCATGTATTTGTCTAGTAGGTGTAGTTTTTAACTTCCTTTACTTTCATACTCTAAGATGCAGTACCATCAATCATTTTGCAAATTTAGGTTATGAGGAATATATATGGTACTAAACAAATATATTCAATATAGTCATTTTCAAAGTGTCAAAGTTCTTTTGTAGTTACTAGCTGTTAGTTTTATTTGATGTAATATATAATAAATATTTTTTTTGAAAGTGAGATTAACAAATCACATAAAACTCTCTGCGCATCAGTTTCCTTACAGCAAAATTTCTTTTAAAAAACTTCTTTGCCTGGTGAGGGGGGCAGGGGTGGCTGGGGGAGGACTAAGGAACTGCCAGTTTCATTTGCATTGAATTACCAAAGAAGTAAGCAAACAACCGATAATACTTGGCCCCAGGGGTGAACTGTCACACGAAGCAGCAACTCAATTCTGTGCTTCATTCCCACCTGACCCACATTCTTTCCCCAAGCAGGAATTGTAAGTGAGTTTTTTTAAAAAGTGTTCAGTATAATGTCACTAAAGGGCCAATTAAAGTAGCGCAACAAAAACGTGGCAGAATACCAAAACATGAAGGATAAGTCTTTTCTGTTTTTCCAGCCTCTCCCACCTCTCAAGCTTACTTGTTTAGTATGAATCAGAGTAAATGAAGCTTGGAAGTCATTACATTGTGAAAGATGCACAGTAAACATGAAAGAGTATGTCCAAGTTCAGTGGATGTTAGCTGTAAATTTCAAAACCAAATCAGTCCTCCAAGTACCTTGGAACAAATGGGAAAATCTCAGATGACTGCACACCACAGATACTCAGAACAAGTTTTGCTAGAAGCACAGCTACTAAAAATGGTGCTGGGTTGACATTCTCAAAGAAAGGAGACAGAGAATATTAAAAAAAAAAAAAACTCCAGAAAACAAATACAGAAGAATAATTTCAGTTGAGAAATTAGAAGGAATCTGTTTCTACTACTTTTGAGAAATTAGAAGGAATTTTTCTTCTACTCCTTCACTTCTTCTCTTTACATGTATTTTAAAAACTCATTTATTTACTTATTTATTTGGCTGTCACTAAGTGAAACCAGTGACAGACTTTATTTTCTCAGGCTCCAAAATCAATGCAGATGGTGACTGCAGCCATGAAATTAAAAGAAGCTTGATCCTTTTGAAGAAAAGCTATGACAAACCTAGATAGCATATTAAAAAGCAGAGACATTACTTTGCCATTACAAAGACCCCTCTAGTCAAAGCTATAGTTTTTCCAGTAGTCATGTATGGATGTGAGAGTTAGACCATAAAGAAGGCTGTGTGCTGAAGAATTGATGCTTTTGAACTGTGGTGTTGGAGAAGACTCTTGAGAGTCCCTTGGACTGCAGGGAGATC